ACACATACACATACATACACATACAAACACATACATACACATATACATACACACATACATATATATACACATACATACACAAACATTCATTCACAAGTCAGGCCACTGGTGGTGCTCATTCTTTTGGCCTTCGATTCTCCGCTGCCCATCCCCCCTACAGGGAAGCTCATCCCTACATTCTATAGCGAGCCAGGACATCTTTTAAAGTCAGGAAAACAAGCAGATTAGACAAGCCACAGCATTCCAAGATTGGTGCAATCACTTCTGGGAACTATTTTCAGATTACAGATACATTTATATGAAGGTAGAGAACAAGGAAAGATTGTTGGAAAAGACAGAGGTTAACTCGGAGGCAGAGGTTTGTGAATTGAGCTGCATAATCGCCTACATGAGGAATTAGGGGAGTATTCAGACAGGAAGTGATATTATGAGAATGGGGAAATAAGATTCTCATTGGGGTGAGGAAAATGGAGTGGGCTGCAGAGAATGACAGCATGACGGTGGGGGATATCTTTTGTAAATGTACTGCTTTCACACTGTAAATATTTAGCAGTTCTCCGAGATACAGAGAGATATGTTCCAATTCTTAGATTGAACACTCATTAATCCTTTCCATATTTCTTAAAGCCCTTATCAACTCCCCTACTAATCCAAGTCTCTTGAAAAAAGACCATCACAGCTAGGGGGGAGGGGGAATATACGATGATATGGTAGTCACGTGGATTTGGTTTCCAAAGTGTTAGTTCACAGCTATTCACACTGGGTGGTAGGAGTTACTCACAGGTGGTGATTAATGGACATTAGTTCTGTACTGATCTTGTAGTCAGAGCAAGTAGCTTGAGAAAGTATATCATTGCACTGTATCATGAAATGCATCACTGTGACTACTGGTGAGAAACTCATACAACTGTGTATCAAAAAACATGGATGGTCTGTCTTGGAAAAGCATTCATTTCTAAGTAATTAACTAATAATGGTAACATATGGTTTACTATGCGAGTAACATATAACAAAATGACCCTTCAACTTGCTCAGTGGGACAATTTTTGCACCAACATCTCAAGCTGTCCACTAATGACAGAGGCAAATTATGAACCTTTACCCACATTTGCAGTGAGCTTAATGTGTGCCGTTTCTAGAGAGAATAACAGAAACACTGAGTAGGTTCCTTCGGAGGGATGTGGTTTCACTGCGATAAACAACCAGGCATGCAGCCTGCTTTCTCTAGGCAATGTAAGCTATGGAATCCATGAGCAAAGCAAATCCACTAGAGCACTACACTGCACCCGACCCACCCTGTGTTCCTCTTATGAACCATACAAATCTTTAAACACTAGCAAGCTACAAACTGCATTTACTCCTTTTTCACTTCTGTTATAATGGCTACAACTACAGGTAAACACTAACCCATACTGTGGTTAAGGTCTTAATTGTTAAAGGCATTTATGTGACCATTTAACTCTGTACATGTGGCCCTTAATAAACAAGAAGACTCATAGTGACAGAACCTTTAATCCACCATTGGCACGTCTCACTGGAAAAAAAAAAGTTTTGAGAGCAATATGTATTCAAAACTGAGGCCAACAGCTTTCTTATTTAATAGTAAGCTAGAAGGAAAGGAGTAAGACATGAATAAGCGAGATGAAACCATTTTTTTCATAATCTTGGAATTAACTTTTTTATTTAAAAGTTTTTGTGTTTATGGTGTTTTTTTCTGTTATCAATAATACACACACAGTGCAGGCTTAAAAGGCAGTTTCCTCCATCACAGAGAACTGATTCTATCGCCATCTTGCATTAATTTAAGTAAACATATATTCCAATTAAGACTTCTTTTCAACTTCTGTTGCAGCATCATCCACTTTTCCACTGTCTGTCCGTTTGTTCCAAAATCATTGGTTTTCCAGAATATTGCTACAGACGCTGCTTCCATTTGTTGCTTGTTCATGAGCACAATCCCAAGTGTGACAGGCTCATGAACATGTAAACCCATTCACTGCTGCTCAGTTAGAGGATGAGGGATACTCACACACTGCTAGACAGAGGGCATACTGTTGACTAACAGCCACATAAAACACAACACCAAAAGCTGACATTTGTAGTAAAACGTTTCAATTTATGGTTTTAAAAAAGCAAAAAGAGAAAAGACATCCCTAACAAACATATAAATAACATAACCAGTATGGCTAAGCAGTAAAGGAAAGGGGGGGTTCTTCATGTTATACAGAAAGGGGAACAACACCACATGACCAGTCATGCAAAAGACACTGAGAAGAAGCTTGTCCTCAGCCTCAGGCTCCAACAGACCTGATTACTCACAAGAGAAAATTGCTCTGAACAATTCTGACAAACAATAATATTTCTGAACTTTTTGTAACTTACTAAAGGTGGATTTACAGGTCTCCTCCTTCATCAATCTGCTCACTTTCAGTTCACCACCACATCCTTAATTTAGTCTTAGTGGAACGTAAAAATATGTTGGGTTCCAACAGGACTAAAAACCATAAAACATTAGTAGACCATGTGGTGACACTTCGCTCAGACCCTGCCTTTTCAATAGAGCTTGTAGTTAAAAAGGGCGAGTTTAGGTCCTCATTTGCCATACTTATGTCCTAAACTTCTTAGTCTGTAGATGCTCCCCATAGTAAAAAACTATTGCAAATACTACACAACTGAATCAACATATGAAATATAACCCTGCATGCCTTGCTTCAATAAACACGCGCTGATACGAACTGCTGATTGTTGCAGACACTTTTGCAATAGATGTTCTCTCTCACCTACAGAAAGAACATGTAAAATGTAAACAGCAAATGTCACTGATGGGTTGCGATGATTACTCAACATCTGGAATAGATGATTATCAATTCATTAATTTGGCTTTAATAGATAACTGATTCTTTGGTTTAACAAAAAAACAAATAGCAAGGGGAAAACACTAAACACTATATTTGAGCCACAGTCCAACATTAACTTCACCTTACATCATGCAAAGAATTGGAGAAATGTTATAATACAAAGTGAATGTAAAATTCATATAACAGCTGAGGTGCCCACCTGAAACCATCTCCGACTGTGACAATCTCCACCTCACTGTCTGTTGAGGTGACGTTGATCTCCTCACTTGCAGGGACCGGAGGAGCTGGAGCTGGAGTTGCCTCAATCACCACCACATCCTCATCCAGAGCACCTGAGAACACCAGTTAAATTTAGTTTCGCACTTTCATACACCATGCAATCTTACAAAAGGCAAAGAAAGCATCCAACTACAATAAAATTAACAGAAAATACATGAAATAATAACTTGTACACTGTACTCTAAATTGTGTCTACTCTTCATTGGATTTTGACACTGTATTTATTAGGATTTTAATTGTTTATTAAGTCTAGATAAACCAGTATCCATTTTTTTCACAGTCTCAGGCCAAACCCAAGCAAGTTGTGCAAGTGGCCAGATAGCATTTTGAAACTGGAGAAATACTAACAGTTTAACAGGAGAAATGTAGGTCATCAGTGCTCAACTCTGTTTGCACTGAGACTGGATTTATTTCCCTCACCGTTCCCAAATCTGCCCTGTGATTGGTTCCCTACGCAACAGATCTCAATCCATCTCTGCTTGGAGTAAATACCTGCAGCATTTACATACTCAAAATGCATATTACAAAACAATATGCCATAACTAGTTTCACATATTCTTTCAAACAATCTTCATATTTTAAAATGAGATATGATGGTGATGTTTCAAAATGGAGCTAACCACACGCATTTGGTGACGAACCCCGTCAATACATCTTTAGGGGTTCCTGCATGTGTATGTGCATCACACACAAGGAGTTTGTTGTTTGTTTGTTTGTTTTTTACAACAGAATACACAACTTAATCTAAAGGGATATCTGAGGGCCAAGCATAAATCGACAATTTCAGATGAAGATCATATACAGCATGTAGTCGCACACAACATACATTAATTTGTGCTTACAGTCTCATGCCTGTTTCTAATTATTGTCACATTTTCTCAGTGTAAGTGAGAGTTGCTGACTCATGATTCTGGTGTATGAGTCAAAGTTACAAATTATCTCCCGCATTCTTGAGCCAACCTTGTATGGCAGATAGTATGTGTCATCTATATCATTTCCAACCTATATACATACTGTATATGTCAACCTACATAAAGGACAGGACATTCAGATGTGTCTGTTCAGATTTACCAGTACAGTGACTGTAAGTACTGGAGTCCATGAAAGCTGGTTTTAAGATGCAAAAAATGCCAAGGTAACCGCTATATTATTTGTTTGAGTGATGAACAAACTAACAACATTTTATGCTGCAGTAGTGTAGACGGTGTTGTTGTCACCAAGTGACTTCCAAGCAAGTGAAGTCCGTAACTCCCCAGTGTGATTTCTATTCCAACCGTCTCCTGAGAACTGCTGCTTAGCACCCTCTGCAAGTCTAGCAGCCTGGGCCTCTGGTGAAGTCTTTTGGTGGTTACACAAACAACAACACCTCACTTATAACTTGTAGAGAACTGTGACCAATCTGTGCAGCACTACTACTATTCCTAACATGTCTGTGTAACACACATTGCAACAGAGCCTGGTGACAACTTCCTGAAGTCCAATCTGGGTAGTCACTTAATCTGTTGGTTGTAAGAGGAAGTGCAGTATGTTTGAGGCTGAAGATCATCCACTGATGATGCCAATAATTTAGTGTTATCAATTGTGAGAATTTTCTAGAACTTTATTTTATCTAAAATCAGGTGTGGCCTGCATTCAAAGTGACTAAGATAGTGTTAATTCATATTTAATATCTTCTGTTGACCTCAGATTAGAGGTAGGAATAAACAGTTTCCAGGCTACATCACACACCTGCTCCAACTCTGGGCATTCAGAAGGCATGTTTCATCACTCCTTGCTTTCCCCTGCTGTAAACAAATGCCTTGTTTTCCCTCCGAGACTTGCTGTTTCTATGCAAAGCTGACACTCAACAGTGTCTGAGTTTTCTCCCACCTGCCTCCCACCATAGAGGCACAACAACTAACTTTCCATTCTCCCCCAGGGCCAGAGTAGCAGAAATATTGCTGAGGCTAAATGGCTACAGCAGGAAAATCACAAACCCGGGTAGAGGTGGGGCTCTTTTTAAAAGGATGTACTGACTCCTGTTAATGCTGGATCATTTCATTTCAGAAAATAGTCTGTGACATTCATATTCACACTGGACTGTGCCATTTCACTGAGAATGAGAGCAGAAAAGCTATGGTTTAGATTTAGGAGCTGCATAAACCTGTTGTTCCAACAGGTACAGAGGGCTGCAGTTTCCATTACAACCAGGTGTGGGGCCCTGAAAAGCAGAGGGGAGCAGCTATTCCTTTATCAGCTGTGCCCAAGCTAGATACATATCAATATTCTTATGTATGTTGAAAACTTGTCATGCTTATAGAGGAAACTGTAACCACTGTCTATGGTTTAACTGTTAGATAACTTAAATACAAACAAAAAGAGGACATGTTCTAAAAAAAATTAAGCACACCAGTCGAGCTCTCATTGCAAGTTGCACAACCCATGTTGACTTCTTCTCCAGCACCAGCAAATTGTTGTTTTTTCTGTTCTGCTTTTCACTGCATATTAATTCAAACTGCATCAATGTACTTCAATTAAAATATGTTAATTCATGCTGGACTGGGTTTTTTCCTGCAACGTTAGAGATCTTGGTGCCTGTGAGCTTAAGGGCTCATCACTTTCATTATACTATTACAACTGTGGTGGTACACCTCTTTGCCTATTTTTGTTTTCACAAACTGCACAAAACTATCATACAAATAAATATGTCTACACAGTGGTGTACCATTCTGCCTGTTGATGCCTATTAAACCTGTCTATGATGTCTATTATTGACTCTGTATGTTATGGTTGCGACGGTGATGACAGTATTATGTTATGCACGACTTCCCTGTTGGTTTATAATGCTTTTGACCATATGATACAGCCTTCATAAACATAACTCATGCTGTAAAACGCCATATGTTAGATACAATACAGAGATTACAGTGCAACACAAAGATACAAATGTAATATAGTCGTGGTTTGTTATTACCTGTGGCAACAGTAGCACTATTGGGTTGGCTGCTGGTGCTGCTGACATCTACATACAGCTCATCTTCTGCTTCGGTAGAAGAGGGGGACGACGAGTCACTACTCAGCTCTTCGCTGGAACTACTGGTGCTATGGAATAGAGCGTACTTCCTACGTGCAATAACTTCACGTTTCTTCCTCTGCAGTAGTAGGCGCTCCTTTTGCTTCTGAGTCCGCTGACCCCCTCCAGGAGCTGTTTTCACAAAGCGTTTCCTATGCAGAGGCCGCCGGCTGCTCAGACACGGCCGCTTCAGCAGCACTGGCTCAGCCTCAGACCGCACCCACTTATGAGAGCGATTCCCCCGAGTTCGACCCAGAACAGGGCGCAGGCCAACTCCAGTGGCTCCTCCTGTTGTCAGGGCAGGAGCCTTGTGTTGGCCCCCTGTTGTGCCAGCTTCCCCCTCGTCCTCTGAGCTTAGAGTGTCCGAGTCCCCAAATTGCAGGCTAGAGGAAGGGGAGGAAGCACAGTCACTAAAAGAGGACTCGTGATGATGGTCATCCTCACTGGGGTGCTGTAAAAGTTCTACCCTCGGACGCTGAGGGGCCAGTGAACTCTCACTGAT